TTTGTGTGTGTGTTCGTTTGCTTGGCTGGGATTCGTCACACTGTCCAGAGCTCTCTCGGCTTCATCACGCCTTCTAGAATGTTCTACTCCATTCTAGAACAGTCGTTGGAACACTCGCTGGAACACTCGTTGGATCACTTCTTGGGCAACCCCGTGATGGTACAACATGGCGTTTTTTTTGTTGGGAGTTATGCGGGAGCTGTATTTGGGTTGTAGTTTTAGAATGTACTGTAGGTGCTGTTGGGGGAGAGTGAGGGAGTTGAGTGAGTGCGTGAGTGAGTGAGTGAGTGAGTGAGTGAGTGAGTGCGTGAGTGAGTGAGTGAGTGAATGAATGAATGAGTGAATGAATGAGTGAGTGAGTGAGTGAGTGAGTGAGTGAGTGAGTGAGTGAGTGAGTGAGTGAGTGAGTGAGTGAATGAATGAATGAATGAGTGCGTGAGGGATTGAGTGAGTGCATGAGTGTGTGTGTGTGTGCTAGGAATATTATTTTATTCCGGAACTAAGCTTTGCCTAGTAGCTATTCCGCTATTGAAATGCGTGCTGTACTTAGCAGAAATGGCTTTACTGTAGCGAGAATCTTGCGCTAGACGAGAGAAATGATCCAGCGGTTCTCTTTGCCTCCTCGTGACCCGGATGAGGAAGAGAGCGCGGGAAACCTTATTTTTGGTCCTGGGATTTCTCCTCCGCCGTCCCCATATATATTGGGTGCTTCTACCTCTCCCTCTTCACTTGTTTTTGTTTTCCTTTCTCTTCTCTTCTCTTCTCTTCTCTCTCTCTTCTCTTCTCTTCTCTTCTCTTCTCTTCTCTTCTCTTCTCTTCTCTTCTCTTCTCTTCTCTTCTCTCTCTCTCTCTTCTCTCTCTCTTCTCTTCTCTTCTCTTCTCTTCTCTTCTCTTCTCTTCTCTTCTCTTCTCTTCTCTTCTCTCTCTCTCTTCTCTTCTCTTCTCTTCTCTTCTCTTCTCTCTCTTCTCTCTCTTCTCTTCTCTTCTCTTCTCTTCTCTTCTCTTCTCTTCTCTCTTCTCTTCTCTTCTCTTCTCTTCTTTCTCTTCTCTTCTTCTCTTTCTCTTCTCTTCTCTTCTCTTCCTCTTCTCTCTTCTCTTCTCTTCTCTTCTCTTCTCTCTCTCTCTTCTCTTCTCTTCTCTTCTCTCTCTTCTCTTCTCTTCTCCTCTTCTCTTCTCTTCTCTTCTCTTCTCTTCTCTCTCCTCTCTCCTCCTCCCTCTCTCCCTCTCCCTCTCCCTCCCTCCCCTCCCCCTCCCCCCTTCTCCCTCTTTTGCCCCTTTCACCCTCTCCCTCCCTCCCTTCCCTCCCTCCTTCCCTCCTCCTCCCTCCTCCCTCCTCCCTCCTTTCTCCCTTCTCCCCTCCGTCCCTCCATCCTTTCTCCTTTCTCTCTTTCTTCCTAATGAAAGGAAAGGAGAGAAAGAGGGAAGAGAGAAAGGGGTTAAAAGGGCGGAAGGAGGAATGAAGAGGGAAGGGGGAAAGAGGTAAAGAGGGGAAAAAGGGGGGGGGGCGAGAGGGGGGAGAGGGGGGGAGGGGGGTTAGGGGCGTGGCTTCACTTAGCCTGATTGATTTCGCAAATTTGGAAACGCGCAATGTTTTATTGGGTGGGTTTAGATGATTAAGAAAATTGGTTTTATAATAGGGTGGGAACGTATATGGAGATGATCTATTATTGTTTGTGTTTTTTAAGTGGTCTTTATATTTTCCTTTTTTCATAAGTTTTCTTTTTTTTTTCTTTTTTTCGTTATTTTTTTTCTTTTCCATTTTTCATTAGTTTTCTTTTTTCTGTTTTTCGTTAGTTTTTTTTCTTCTTCTTTTCCCTTTTTTCCTCTTTTTCCCTTTTTTTTCTATTTTTTCGTTTTTCATTACTTCCTTTGTTTGATTACTGTTTTCTTTTACTGGTTCATCGATATCTTTCTTTTTCTCTGTATTTTTTTTTTTTTATCCTGGCCTGTTGACGTAAGTCTCTCCTTTTTGCGTTTCTCAGCGTCACGCGCCACCCCCCCTCCATCTCTGCTCTCTCGGGTCTATCATGCTCGGTCGTCCTCTCTCTTGTCTCTCTCAAGAAAGATGTCTCAATCTCAGTACAATGTGCGAGATATTCTATTCTCTTCATCTCACTCTCTCTCTTTTCATTCTCTCTTACATCTCTCCTCGCTGGTCGCCGTTCCCTTCCCATTCCTCTCCGCTGCTCCTGACACCTCCCTCCCGTCCCTTACCCTTGCCTCTCTTCGCCTCCCATGCGCTTCCTCTTCATCAGCCTCCTCTCCCTCTCCCTGCTCTCCCTCCCTCGCTCGCGCTCTCGGCCTTCTCCGCTCCCTCTCAGACCTGCTCGCCTTCTCCCTCTCATCTCCCTCTCCACTCAATCCGTCTCGCCTCTCCTACTTCCCTGCCGTCCCTGCTGCCCTTGCATCCACTCTCTCTCTCTCTCATCGTTCTTCTCTCTTCTGTCTCTCGTCTCTTTCTTCTCTTCAATGCCGTCATCTGCTCTCGGGTCCCGCGGGTCCTCTCTCTGCGAGTGTTGCGCGTCTCTCATTTCACTCTCGTCCCTCTGCCCCGTCGTGTCTCTCTCTTCTCTTCGTCTGCGTCCTGCGCACTCCTCCTCCCTCCGCTCGCTCGATTCCTCCCTCTCTCCCTCTCATAGTCTCCCGTCCTCTCTCTCTCATCTGACTAGATCAGGTCTCTCTCGATTAGTTCGTCTATCTCTCCATGCTTCACTTCGTCAGTCGGTCTTCTCTTCTCTCTCGTCTTTCTCATCTCTCTCCCTCCCATCCGCTCCCATGCCCTCCCTCCTCCGCATCTCTCGGCCTCCTCCTCGGCTCTGCTCTCTCTCTCATCTGTGTTGTCATCTCTCTTCTGCTCATCCTCTTCTCTCTCGTCTCGTCTCTCTCTTCGTCGGATCTCGCTCCAACATCTTCTCTCACTCTCTCACTCATCTCCCCTCTCGTTCCCCTCCTCCCCTCTCTCTCGTGTCACCCTCTGTGCTCCCTCTCTCCCCTCTTCTCCCGCTTCTTTCGCTCCCTTCTGCTCTTCCTCCCCTCTCTCACTCGCTCTCCCTCTCCTCCTTTTCCCAGCCTTCTATCTCTCGTCTATTTATATTTTATCAGTCTCAGACATTTTGAACTTAGATATTGTTTTCACGACAAAATGTTTTCTTTTTTCATAAAGTTTGACTAAGCTTATTATTAAATTCTCATAACTTAAGAATAGAAAATTGCTAGTTTTCCATCGTAATTCTGTTATTTATGTCTGTATTTATGGATCAATTTATCTGTGTACACTCTGCTCGAATTTATTTTGTTTTGAGCCCGTTGTCTTTCGGGAGTTTGGCAGTATGGCCGAAAGCGATTTTTGGCCTCTCTCTAGCTGCATTTTGGCGCTTGGATATGATTAGTTAGACTTGTTTTTTATAGTGAATTTGATGTGCATGTGGATAGTGTGTTTGTATAGATAGTTTGCATTTACTTCTTTAATCATTTTTCCGCCATGGCCATGCAATGATCTATATTTTTAGCCATTCACTATTTTGTGATTGTATGAAAATATTTCGTTCCATTATCCCATTCCACATTTTACATGCCTTGGGCGCCAAGGTAAACATGAAACGAAAAAATAAAGAAGAAAAAAAGCAAACAGATACACCAGACATGTGTAAGTGAGTTTTGTACCGTACTGTAGTTGATGCATACATGCATAGATGGCAGTGCTGCTTCGACAGCGAGACGAGGCTGCCGGCTAGCAAGCTCATCTAACCCACAACTAACTCCCCTTTTCCTTTTTCCCCTTTGTTGCATCTTGCCTCTCGTAGTCGTTTGCGGGCGTGGGGTCGTCGGCGTGGTACCCCAGCCTCGGCTACCACCACAACCACCACTTGGCTAACCACCACAACCACCACACTAACAACACCCACCGCAGGCCGAACTTCCTCCCGTCTCGGCCGCCGGGGGGCCGCTCAGCCTGCGCGCGGTACGGTACGTCGGTGAGGGGGGATGGGGACGGGCTGGGGGGGAGGGGATGCAGAGGTCGCGGGGTTGGGGAAGGAGGGCTCGAGTCCTCTGCTGGGCCAGGAGGGTGCTCAGGGTAAACTAGGAGGAGATAGGATGCCTGATAGAATTGCAGGGCTGAAGCAGGGGTCCCTTTTAGTGTGGCAAGGGACGTGAGGGTATAGGAAGGGACACCTTATTTGTAAGTGTGGCCACGAATTTAGCGAAGGACACCCAGGGAAGTTGGCAAGAGTTATATCTAGGACACAGATTCGTCGCTAGGAAAGATGGTAAGTTGCAGGACACCATGACATCGGTAGGAAAAGAGAGCTTTTGGTAGGACCTGTAGGACACCGGAGGGGCCCTCGAGTAAAAGAGGGACACTGGAAAGTCATCCATTGCTGCCAAGGACACTTTAGATTTTGATTTGCACATCGAAAGAGCCACAGCATGCAAAGACACAAAGGTCAAGGGAGGAAAGACACAGCATACACGGACACGAAGGTCAAAGTAGGAACTCCAGAATTCGTACACGGAGACAAGGACAGCTGAACTGACACACGTGAGGGGGGCGCGGGCGACCCAACAGACTCTGGATCGGGTTTCGGAAGCTGGTCAGTCTGCTGCGAGGCGGGGCAGCAAGGGCATGTGGAAGGCATGGGCGAGACCAGTAGTAGATCCTGCTAACCTTAGTGATGTAGGTAGAGCATGTTAGTGATGGATGCGCATACATACAGCCACATGCACATAGTATACACATGCGCTAACGTACACGTGCGTACATGTGTCTTTGCGCACATGTACATATATACACACATGCGCACGTACACATGCACACACACATACGCACATGTACATATATGCACACGCACAAACGCACATGTACATATATGCACACGCACAAACGCACATGTACATATATGCATAGGCACATACGCACACAGGCACATACGCACACAGGCACATGCACACAGGCACATGCACACACACAGGCACATACGCACACGCATATTGTTCAAACA